TCTTGAGAACAGTTTGATCTAATTTCAAATAGAAGCATTTTATGGACGGATTATGGGCTACGCTCTCTTGCAAAAACAAGGTGAGGCTATGCAATCAACCCTTAACCTGTTTGAGTCTCCTGTTTTGCTACTGTGGTTTTACCTAAATCTCATTGATTTTGTAATCTAATTAGTCCAAATTGTACCATTGTAACCACAGCTCCATCTACATGAAACGCAACACAGAGCATGACCCACCTTATTGGAGAGGTCCAATATGGATGAACATGAACTACATGATTCTTTCTGCACTATTCCATTACTCAGAAGGTATATCTCTATACATCCAGAACAAATGACGAGCATAAAATATTAAAAGAAACAGGGAGATGCTTTTTGAACTATCATGCTTGAATTGATATTCTTTTTTTCCTTCTTTTCTTGTAGTGGATGGACCATTTAGAGATAGAGCAAGGAGTATTTACGAGGAGTTGAGAGAGAATTTGATGAGGTTATTTACAGTCAGATTCTGTCGGAGTAGTTCCTACTTTATATACGGTGCTTTAACTGAAGTCATGAATTAATACGTCTATTCTGGCTTGCTGCAGAAATGTGATTCACAACTATTACCAGACTGGATACTTGTGGGAACAGTATGATCAGAAGACAGGAAAAGGGAAAGGGACACGTCTATTTACTGGTTGGACAGCTCTCATCCTATTAATTATGGCTGAAGCTTACTGAAACCCCTTAGGTTTTTTTTCACGGAAGATAATATTCTTAAGTTAAAAACAAAATTTTAGTACTCAACGAGACAAATCTCTGTTGTAAAAGGTTTTGTGCTCAATTTAAATGGAAATACTAACTTAGAAGGAGACCATCCCAATTCAAGGTAAAATGACCATAGAAGTATTTTGAGGGGAACTTTCTCCATAAGAAACGATTAGACAGGCCCTTTTATGTGTGCCATGTTGTTGAAGATCTTAATTTTACGAAGCTACAGGCCTCTGAAAATAGCAACTTCTGGCCTGCCCTATTTGTTTTTGAGAAGACCATCACTTGGCTGCGCCGGACAGGGAAAAAGAAAATGATTGCTATTTCACAATTATTGGCTAGATACAAGTAGTAGTGGAGATTGAGCTTATGCTAATATTTCAGTATCCCGTTGATCTCATTCAAATACTGTTGAGTTTGACTTGCTACTGTAATCGTGAGTTTGAGTTTTATTTGGTTTTTTTCAGTCTCATTTAAAGGAATCCAAATTCAGGTTGAATTTAGAAATAGATCAGTAAAAACAAAACCTCATTGGATTTGAACTTGGGGTTCTACTCTTTTCAAATGATTATATTACCTTGTTACTATTATATGTGTGTAAATCATTAGGCTAATAAACAACCATGCAGAACTAATTCAGTTATTAGTGAATATTTACTTATAAGATACATGGTTGTAGTTTCACAAAACTTTCCAGTGTTCATATTATTTTTTGAGGAAAAAAGTCATCATTTTTAAGTTTAATAAGCTTACGAGTTCTGTACAAATTCTAAACTCATTCGAAGTGTGGTAATTGGTAAGATATATTTTTATATAAACTTAAATAATTCTTTTTAGATGATATTATATTACTAATATACTATTCTATGACTTATTCCTTATTGAATGTTCAAAAAAAAAAAAAAAAGTTAATCTAGCCTTAAAAATGAGAAAGAAATCAGTACCTAATCGGTTATAACAAATATGCCCATGAAATAGCAGATAATAAATAAATCATCGTCTCCCTTGATTATTTTTCCAATGAAATAAACACAAGAAATAGTATTATAGAAGTTATAAACACATGCGAGAAAAATTAATTTTTATTGGCTATTTCTCTCACACAAAAATGAGAAGATACAATAAAATCATCTAAAGGGATGTATTGTTAGTATTTATAGATGACGTCTCTATAATGATTGAGTATTATTTGTATTCTTGAATAATTAGAAATTAACTTATCACGATGCATCTTCCTTTCTGAAATTGAATAATCATATACTCAAAAAAAAAAAAAATTCAATATTGTAAGGCAATGTATTTATGTTAAAACAGTAAAATGCAAGTAAAACCTGAGCTAAAAGAAATAGAAATAAAATAATACAACGATGGCGTAGGCTACCAGCTAACTCTGTTTGGAAAAACAGAATTATGAAGCTGTTAAAAGCTGTACGGTAATACAGCTGAAGCTAAATCTTTATGGGCTTCTTTTTTTAGCTGTATTGAGATAATAGAGACTCTAACTCAGTTACCCACCTTGTTGCTAGAGCTTTGAAGGCCCAGCTTTTTTTAGCTGTATGCAAGTCAGCTGTTTCTCCTTTTGGTTGATCAATGAATTTGTCTTTCACCGAAAACAAAAAGAACAAGAGCTCAAAGCAGATCATTCAAAATGACCTTTGCACCAGATCCTGGCATTCTTCTACCAGAAGAAAGGTTTGGGTTCAAGAACTCAATAATAATACTTTATCCCTAAATAGATCCAACGGCTGAACAAAAAAAACACAAGAATCACCGAGTACTGCCTGTCAACTTCCCTAGCTCCCTTCCTCTGTCATCTCTGTGTCCTCAGACATTATTATATCCATGTCCCTTATATCTCGCTTCAATACACTGCCAAGCCTTGCTATGGCCTCCGTCTGCTGTTGTAGGACCTATCCAACAAAATTCTCCTTTGTTAACACTTGAATTCATATCTCCTTAAAAAGTAAATAAGTAACATTTGTCTGTATATTAACCATAATGGTTCACTAATACTAGGTTTGACCATTTATTGTCAACATGAGAGAGGCAACATCATGCCACCTCAAACCTTACTGCTTTCATTATCCAAAGACAATCACAGATTGTCGATCATGCATTGCCATTTTATCACAACGTAACTAGTTAAACAAGGGTTACCATTAGCAACGATTGTATTTATAATAATAAAGCCCATTAACAGTCTTGTGAGTTTATAGCTTTCTTGTCAAATTAGATATCATGCTAGTTTCTAAAAAATATTTCTTAGAAAAAAAAAGAAACAATGTGCTTTGTAACAGGCAACAACTGACATTAGTTAGAAAATTATCAGCTTTTACCTCCTGCATATCAGCAAGGCTCTGATCGTGTATTTTGGTTGATCCAGGAAGATAAAAAGAACCACCAGTACTGATGGAATTTGCTTGAATCCGAGATATGGTAAGCAGGTTCTGAACCCTCCTAGAAAGTTCTGCTCCAGATCCTTTCAACTGAATTTATGTTCACTGGTCAGTACCATTGTTGGTAAGCATCAAACAGAACCTGCGACAAGGTGAACTGACCTGTCTTGTTATTCCTGCCAACTTTTCAGCCAATTCAGCTTCTCCTTTCATTATGGGCAACCGGCAACCCTTACCCTCCAGTGCTTCCACTATTCTCATTACCTTTAGGCAAACCACAAAATTTTCTGAAAGTCAAGATGAAATATAATAGAACTAAATGTACAAACTGAAACTAGACATGCAAGAATGACTAAAAGCCTCCTGAAAGATTAACCTAAAGTACCCTATAATAGCCATGTCACCGGTGACCATCTCTCCTCAACCAAAGTATAATGAAACACTCTTTAGTATATTGCATACCAAAGACAGGAGAGTGATCAAATGAGCATGCTGAAGACTGCAAAATATTCAAAGATGCAAAAGAAACTTATTAAGCTCGACGGCAATCACAGTAAACTGAGAGCGATTTTCTTCGCACCCTTAAAAGGCGTCTTTGAAGACTTTGCTCCTTTTGTCTCATTCTTTCGATCCAAGGAAGAGTTTCAGCTTGGAAATGCCTTTGAAGCTGCAAATATATAGATGGTGAAAACCATACTCCATATATGCAATCAACAAGATAGACAAGCAGATAAGTCATAAGCACACCATTTTAACATTGCTCTGAGTCATTCGCAACCTCTCAGCATCAGAAAGAATGACTTCATCTTGAAGCTGCATCAAGCCAATGTGACAATTATCATTTTATCTTACCAGCAATCCACAACAAATTCATTAACCAAACAGAATCCTAAGCACACTCTGCTCAAGTCTCTACCAAATATCCCTCAGTCTATAAATGGAAGAACATAGTTATCTCGGTTCAACCCGCTCCATGTGCAATGTGCCAGTAAAAACTTCAATAAAAAAACGGCCCAAGAAACAGCCAAGTAACATAACTACTAAGGCTTATCAACAACTCAAAACTAACAAGGTTCACCTTCAATCGGTTGGAAAGATCCTTGAAGCCTTGAACAAGCTGAGGCCATAAGCGTTCTCGATCAGTGCCATCCATACCCTCCAGTTTCCCAATAGCTTCCGCCCACATGATCTATCAATGCAAACTATCTCCAAACTTAGCTCAATTGGATATTCAAAAGAAAAAAAAAATAACCTACTTGAAGCAGAAGATTAGTGCTCGTAGAAGCCAACCTCCAACAATAAGAATTTTCAAGACAAGGAAATGAAATAATACAAACTCACATCTGATACACCAGGGGGCTTCACCCTAAACTGTGGCTCAGTCACACTAAACAACAAGTGCTGCAAAATGAAATAACGCCACATGATAACATAAAGTTACAAAACCCTTATTTTCTTCTGTCGTTCAAAAATTGAAAGAAATAAGGATTCATATTAATTCAGATATCTCAAGTTTCCATTAAAGAAAAAAAAAACCCTCAAGCTTTCTTAGCCGTGAAACCAACCAACCTTAAAAGCGTACTTAGGGTTCGCAGGGTCTTCCTTGTAAGCATCAACAATCGCCTAATGAAATCAGAACCAATAGAAAGAATCAAACCCTACGAAATTCTACGACTGGAAGAGACTGAGGGTTAGGGTTTATGATAAACCCGCAACCCTCAGAGGAAAAGGTTAAAATGAAAAAACAAAGAGATACTTGAATGTCGCGATCGGCGAGAGAGAAAGGGAGAGGAGCCACAGGAGCCATCTGAGTTGTCAATTGAGCATTGGGGAAAGGATTCGGCTGCGGGGTGGCAAAGGGAGTCTGGAAACCGAAACCAGCAGAAGGTTGCTGCTGAAACAACGGAGTCTGCTGCTGAAACAACGGAGTCTGCTGCTGTTGCTGTTGCTGTTGCTGTTGCTGCTGAGAGGAGAATGGAGTTGAAAATAGAGAGGAGCCGAAGCCTACCGTGGCAAATGAAGGCGTCGACGGCGTTCCAAACGCCGGAGTAGTAGATGGAGTTCCGAAGGCCGGAGTAGAAGATGGCGCTCCAAATGCCTGAGTAGCAGATGGAGTTCCGAATGCCGGGGTCGATGCAGCTTGACCTCCGAACATTGCTTGCCCTTGATTCTGCAGCACACAACCGAGGGAAGAGGGAGACAGGATACGGAAAATTTGAATGCAAGTGTTGGGGATTTTAACCAGAAGGCGCCATTTTATTTGGTCTTACACCGATTGTGCAGGTATATACCTTTTATTCTTACTGCTAATATTCCAATTATGATTTAATTTTTGTATTTTAATAAATTTTATATACAAAAATAAATTATACCATTGACTAAGTTTTATTATAATTTTAATACTATAAATTTTTTTATTACTTATTAATTAATACATTGCAAAAATAATTAGGTTATATTTAAAATAATTGAAACTTCATTTCCAAATATGTACCTATTTTAATTGAAAGATATGAAAGATCTAATTAAAATAATAAATGAATTTGTATACAAATTAATTTCATTTATCTCATCTCTTAAAAAATTAATTTTATGACTTTTGATTTGTTTCACATAACTTTAAATTAAATTTGACCTATTTATTCAAATTTGTATTATTTTATATTGTAAAATTTTAAGTGAACTTAATCTTAGTTCAAATTTAACTATATTCAACTATTAATAAAAATATAGTACTCATAATGTTTTAACTATTGTAATCTTTTTATTAATTATTATTTTAAATAAAAATATGAAATAAAATTTGTTTAATTGTATATCTAATATATAAATTATTAATAATAAATAGAATGAGAATAAATTTTTAGTATTTAGGACATAAATTGAGATTTACTTTAGATTGAGACGTGTATTATAAGTAAATTACTTTAAAATATATTTTACAATTTTTAAAATAAAAAATATTTATTAGCATACTTTTTCAAAATAACAAAAAATTAGATTTAAGGAATGCTAATTATATTTGATAACTAATACATACACAATACTTAATATCATAATCATAACAATTTTGTAATAAGAAAAAAAAAAAAACCTAATTAAGTTTACTTTGTTTTATATCTGACCTTTGACATTAGTAGTGTCTCCTCTGTATAATGAACAGTTCATTAAAAAAAATTAATTTTGCTTTTGTTATATAATTTTAGTTGAAAAAAAAAAATTGAAGAACCAATTTCTCCCTAATAAAAAATTAATAAAAAAAATATTTTATTTTTATTTATAGTTTAAATAAAGTAAGTTGTAATTTATACAATAATAATAAATATAAAAATAAACGGTTCATCAACTATTTACTTTAACCCATCAACTTGTACGGAAACTTTTCCAAAAATCTTTGGCCGATTAGTGTATCTCCTAATATAATATGAGTAAATGACTTTAAATTGAAAATCAAATCTTATGTATATATTTTTTTAAAAATAAAATCTTATATAGAAACTGAAGAGAGGAATTAAACCAAACAGACCTTAAAAGTCCTATTTATACAAAACAACTTTGCTTCAAAGAGATTCAACAATTAACCATGCACAATTGCACTTAATTAATTAACAAAAGTGAAATTCAGTACTTAATTTGATCCAAGTTACATAGAATAGGGCAACTAATTATTGAGTGCCACTACCTTAACCTAATTAATTAGGTTCACACGGCATATCAAAGAAGATGCAGAAGCATTCTGAACGTCAAAGAATTTTTCAAATTTCCAGCAAGTAGTGATCATCATGCTTGGATTGTCACACTACACAAGCAGAAGCCTGACGGCCTGATCTCAGAAGTCTTCCACTCTGATCCTGGGGCTGCATTTGGATCATACAACAGAGTACTATAACTAAGATCTTCTTCTAGAGAGAATAATAGCAGCTTACCATTCAGGATACCAAATCGAAACCTAATGCTTGAGCCGCCTGTCAGCGGAACAGGTACAACTTTCCATGAGTTGTCCTTTGCATCAAATATTGCCAGTTTCCGCTGGTTTTTCCACTCGATACAAAAGAGCTTTGTTCCCAGCACAGCATGTGCAGTGACCATCACACAACCGCTCTTCATCTCAAACCAGGCATGTTGTTCAGGGTGGTATACATCAACAAACCTCGAGTTCCCAATACTAAAGCTTGACCTTCCACCCATAACATACAGTTTTCCATCAAACCCACAAGCAAAACAACCCCACCTTGGGCATCGGAGGCTTTCTATTATGCTCCACTTGTTAGTATCAGGGTTGTACACCTCAGCACTCGAGAGACTGTCACCATTTATCCCATAGCCCCCAACTACATAAACCATGCCGTTAACTTCAGCAGAAGCAAAATCATAACGAGCCACATTCATATCTGCTAATTTGCTCCAGCTGTAGGGGTACAAACAATAAGTTAACACTCTACAGCAAAATTAAAGAAATCAACATTGAAAAGTGCAAAGAATGTATCACTAATGTAACACACAATCTAAGAATGTCCTTCAAAAATGCCCTGGCTTCACTCTGTTCAGACTATTATTGTCATTAATTTATTAACTAAATTAATTAGTTAAAGTCATTCATTTGAATTGTTTTTTTAAGCATCCAAATATGATCTAATCATTTTATTTTTTTATGTTAAAAAATGGAAGAAAATTTGGCGTTTAAAATATCGGAAATCAAATTATAAAGAAAAAAAAATTAGGAGCCAAACTGTAGTAAGTTTCAAACTTCAAACACTGAATTGCTATTATTCTACAAAATTCTATAATTACTTGGTATGAAGAGAAAAAAGAAAAAAGAATTGGTCGCTGAAAAAAGAAAACAAACTTGGAACAACTGCCATGAACTAGACAGACAATTCCAGATGGCTAATTCTGACCTAGGATATTTTTCAGATACGATTCCACTGTAAAATGGCTAACTCTATAATTACTTGGTATCAAGGATGTCATTTTAATGGGAACCTATTTACATTGATGTGTCCCAGGCTCCTCAGTTATAGATTCTTATAAAATGGCACCAGTGCAATTCATCATTGGTAAAGAAATCTTCCAGCCAGCAAATAGATCATTCTTTCTCTAAACCTAAAAGGTTGAATAATCAAATGACCTACTTTTTCCACCAGAAGATAAAATATTATTAAATTTCTAATCTAAGTAACAAGAAGATAATTTATCCAAATTTGTAGTCCCAACTAACTGTGATTTTTGTATTAACAGAACATAAAATTTTGATGCCTTGAACTGAAAGCATGATAATAGAACAAACCTGTTGAGGCAAGAATCATATTGATAAACATCTGCTGAGGCCGGACCAGTACCTTTGACCACCAAATAACCAGCCATGACAAGAAGTTTTCCATTAAGAACAACCACTCCAAAGCCTGCCCTCATTGCCCCTGGCATTGGCGGAAGATGATGATGTTTAAGTCCTGAGCTGTCCAAAACCTCCCAGTGGCTTTCCTTTCCCTCAACATCCATGGTCAGGATATAAAGCCATTCCTCAAGCACACCAGCTAACTTCCGCACAGTGATCAATTCTTTACTCTGCATAAAAGACCTCCATTTCCTGCAGACACAGCCCATAGCTGGAAAGTTGGAACGGGGAACAAGTGCAAGACAATACTTTGCCACATCATCAGGTAGGCCCGGTAATAATGGGCTGTCAAAGTCATCAGAGACATGAATAGGTAAATGAGGATTGCTTTTTGACCGAGGTAGTGTATCATGGTTTCCCAAAGAGAAGAACATATCTTGCTCTGTGAATCTCTTCTTTCCACTAATTAAGCCAGGCATTTTTCAGATAGTAACAATAAATGAATCTTGAGAGATGCAAATGATTCTCATACATGTATCTCCCAAAAATTTTAATAATGTTTTGGAATGACAAATAATTAATCAAAGAAATTCGTGATATCCGTCACCTATAGGGATTTTACAAGACCAGGGCATATAAGGTTTCACAGAACAAATCACTTGAGTGGTGAACACTAAGGACGTCCAATGTTTCAACCAGTCTGACTGATATTCCATACCAGAGCTTTCGCTCATAAAATAGTTGCTTCCTTTTGTTTTAGGCCGACTGTTTCTTAAGAACCCATTGTCTTTCTTTGTAAACATCTCCCAATTGTCTGCATGAAAGAACTCAAAATTACCACAAACATAATTCAAAATGACAGTGCAACCAACAGTTCACTTTTATACAATGAGAGGATCAGAACAATTTTACCAGCAAAGGCCATAGGACATTGCAAGTCTTATCCCCCAGTAGCTTCCATGTTAACAAAGTCTCCGATCATCTAAAATGTTCAAAAGGACAACAAAATGACAAGTCAACTACCATTAAAAGCTGATTTGGCATAGCAAATGCAAAAGAAAGAATTATCTCGAGCCAATGATAGCATTCTATCAATAAATTAAATCTTCAATAAAAGGAATCAGAAAATTCTCTAAAGATTTGTCTATAACTTCTGCACGCTGCATCTAAAGAAAAATTTACTTTATTTGAAGTGGTAGACAACACAAATCTCAACTCATCTAAACATCCACAAGACAAAATTATAAGAGAGCAAGGAAAAGTCAAAACAAAATATCAAAGAAAGATCACCTACTTAAATGATATATTCTTTTTAATCATATTCAGTAGAAGGCAAAAAATAAAAAATAAGTACATGGTAACATGATGAGGAGATTAGATCATTGATATGCACAGATCAGGAAAGCAAACGAATAAATCTCAAATCCTTGAGATGCTCATAGCATTCAGGTACTGCAACTTGAAATAAGGAAATAAAGTAAAAAAAGTAAACAAATAAACATCTAACTTTTCTCTTTAAAAAAAAAAAAAGAAAATATATGCATTGAACTCCCCCCACAGAGTAACTAAAACTGGAAGACGTGGAAGCTACAGCCTGGGGAAAGGAAGATTCATGTCTGTGATTATGCAGATAAATCTAAGTCGTCAAAACTAAAACATTTAAATTGCAGGACATATCTCCGATTTGAAACCGAAACCACATAAACTACAGAGAATTTAACCATAAAATCTAACTCCAATGATCCTGAATTATTCTCTAAATAGCTTAAATGAAAAAATAGAAACCAGAATTAGACTAAAAAAGGTCTAGTTTAAGTGAGAAATAGGCCAAGAACCATATGAGCAACCGATAAACAATTTATGAGGAAAAAAAAGAGAAACATATACAAAAAGTTCATGAAAAACTCATATGCAGAGAAGTAATCTAAGAAAGAATAAAACAAAATTAACAACGGAAATGAAAATCTAAAAAATGTGACGAGAAAACTTAAACCAACGTACAACGAACAGATCTAAGCTCAAAAAATAATGTCCAGATGCCGCATAAGAAAGAAGAATCAAGCGAATATAAAGAAAAGGATAAGGTAAAAACATTACCTGAGTTAGAGGAGATTATCCGTTGAGAGAATGTTTCAAAGAGTAAGAAGAAGATAATGTGCGAGAGAGACTAGGCGAGAGTGAAGGAGATCTATTTATAGCCCACAGAAATTTTGGTCAAAAAGAAAATTATACATAAATAATAATAATAATAATACTAATGGAAAGATAAACTCCTAAAAAAAAAAAAAGATAAAACTGACAGAGAGCTGCCACGTCAGGATGAGATATTCGCCCGCTCATTACAATACCAGAAAAGGGACGTGTATTGTTCTCTTCCCGATATAATGGAAGGACAAGTTTTTTTACTTTTTTATATTTCTCATAACTTGGACCAATCGAGTTTCTCTTGTGTGTATATGAGTAGACGCATCCATATCTCTTCATTCATCCATTGACGTCTCTGCGTGTGATAATTATGGGTTTAAGTCAGGATAACGGCATGATGGTCATTTCACGTGTCTGGTGGGGTCTACATTAATTTTTTTTTATTACCGACGGAAGTAAATTCATCGGCTGGACCTCAAAAAAAATTAATTTAATTCCATTTAAAATGAAAATAGGGACAAAGATAGGGTTAGTAGGCTTGCTCCGATCCACTCAACCATGACATACACTGTATTTTATACTATAAATTTGAATATTTTATAAAATTATATGTTTTTGTAATTAAATTTCTAAATTTAATTTTTGATATGTTTAAAATAATTTGAATTGTGAGATAATTTTATAAATTTTGTTGTATTTATGTTAAAATATATATTTTATTGAATTATTTTGTTTGTGTTAAACAATTTGAATGCTTTTATATTGAACTATTTAAATATTTTATTTTATTTGTGTCAGATTATTTTGGTTTAAGGTATTTATTTTAATTGAATATGATGCAATATTTTTGTAATATACCTTCTCCTACAAAATCTTTGTTTTCTCTTACAAAATAATAATAATAATAAAGATGAGAATATGAATAAAATAATATAATTTATGTCCAGAATTTGTCCATTGTCATCTCTAGTTAAAGAATTGTTATTTCACTTTGAGAACATATTTATTTTCAGATTAAATTATATGAAATTGATCGAATTTTATGTATATTTAGAATTAGGTTTATTATTTTTAATAAATAACAATTAATGCATAATTAGTTATTTGTCAATTTTATTTTAATTTCTTAGCCTACATGGACTAATAGTTAAACTATTTTATGTTTAAATATTTTAGACATATAAATATGGCTACGAGTATCTGTAAATATTTGAGATTGTTATAAATATTTTGTTAATTAGTATAATTTATGGGCATTTAGATATTTAGTGTTGTCTTGGACATTTCAAATGTTAACACATAATTTTATTTGTTATGAGTAAATTTTGAAAACTCATAGATCTATATAAAAATTGCAAATATGTAAGGCTTTGAATACTTACTAGCATTCATGTACCTAAGCTTATTTATATATTGAATAATTGATGTGTTGGTAAACATTTCAAGTATTTAGGTAATTTTGCATTTTCATTCATGTGCCTAAACTTTATTTAATTTTTTTTCATATTTATTGAACATCAGAAAAAAGGGAGAAATGCGTGTACGAAAAGTAGTCAAAATACTAAAGTACCTCTGGACTTCATAAAAATATTTAAAAATTTTCATGAAATATTTTTTTGATTAAAGTTCTTATGGTAGTTACAAAAATGTGATAAAATATTCTCTCCATTTTTCTCTATGGCATTTGAGCTTGTTGATATAGTAAATAACGTGGACAAACCATGTTACGTCCATTTCAAATATGATAATATAGCATCTATGTTCTCAATCACATGGACGTTACATCAGCAAACCTTTTAACCCCATTTTATTACCTCACCTAATTTTTTTTACCATGTTTTGTTCTTTTTTCCACCTCATATGTGCCCTAATGTGAAGAACATCCAGTCCTCTCCTTTGTGCCCTAAATGTTATTCATAGCATCATTCATCTCCTTTATTCCTTCATCGTTTCATCATCTTCTTTGTAGTGTTCATGATAGGCTTACTCTTATCAAACGCATGCACGCCTCTTTCCTTCATATAAATCGGTGTTAAAAATTTTTTTCAATCAATTTTAAAATTCTGGCACAGTGGCATCACCGCCTGTGACGGCAGTTTGCCTCAATTTTGTCGATTTCGGCCAGTTTTATATCTATCACTGTGAGAAAAATGAGTTATGGGGATTCGGTTGGCCAAAAAAAATAAAAAAACAAAAACCTACTGGCGGCAAAATTTTTTGGTACGGTGGCTCCACTGGCTCACCTTCGCTGTTGGACATTTTTCTTCGATTAACTTGTAAAAAATATAATGGTGAATACAATTGTGAAAAAATTGCACGAAACGGGAATCGAAAATGGGCTCATTGGAGGTAATTTTTTATTTTTTCCGCGACGGCACCGCCAAACTTTACTTGCAATTTTTGGCTCATCCGCTGATCCTTTTACTCTAATTTGGCCATGAGAGTGTTTAAAGTCAAATTTTGAGCGAATGAGATATTTTTACCTATTTTGGTGATCAGATGTGACTCCGGCGTGACGGGGGTCGGTGGTCGGCTCCCTTCTCCAGCGGGGGCCTGGCGGCTAGGGTTAGGATTCGGTGTGAAGTGAGATATTTATACTCGTCTTTCTTAAATGTAGACCGTTCATCGTATTTTATCTCAACCGTCCGATCGCGTTTAAAGAGAAAATAAATTTGAACAATTCATCGCGATTTGATCTGGACCGTATGATCACATTTAAAGAGAAAATGAATCTGAACCGTTCATCGCTT